TTAATAGCATACAGAAAAGACATAACTACATCTCCAATAATAGGTATACCACTAATCGATGAATGTTTTGCTTGATAAATAAGTTTGTCGATAAATGTTGTTGGCACAATGTCTAATGCATTTGTTACGGCTTGGTTGACCCCGGTGAGAGTATTATTAACAACTGAACCCACCATATTAGTTAAACCTAACGGGTCGACCAGATTTAATATATCCGGATCCTACAAAAATTTAAATAAAGAATAATTTATATTTATATTAAATAAGTATACTATTTATTAATATCTAGGTTATTTTATGGATCCTGGTACTGACTTGGTGTTCAGATATTGATGTTTGTGGATTAGTGTCTAATAGTGGCTGTGCTACATTTGCTACAGCTTGACTGACCCCGGTTATAGTACTATTTGCCAAGGTGGTCACTTGCTTAATGGTTTGATCCAAACCGGATACTGTTTTGTCTACTACGGACCCCACTATGTTAGTCAAACCAAACGGATTAACCAGATCCAGCATACCCTGTTCAGATTTAAAAATATAATTTATACAACATTTTTACATAGAAATGAGAAATTAGCTTTATAGTTTTATTCATGTCACATATAATTAGATTACAAATAATAATTCAATGTGAGCTAGTACAAACCGGTTGCGTAGTTTGTGTATCAGGTGCTGTGGTGGGTGATATATTAGGTGACTCGGTTGCTTGGATAGTGCTAGGTGCTTTGAACTCATTTTCAACTGTGGTTGATTTAGGATTTAATAATTTGCCTAATCCTAGTATATTGCCATTATTCTTTGATCCAGCTGAGTCCGAGTCACCAAATAAGCTAAATCTTGGGACACGTATCGATGTATTAGTTTTAACATCCGAAGTAGTAATAGATACCACGATTAATAAAACAAATACACAATTTGTGTAATTCATGATCCAGTTTGTTATAATAATTTTTAAAAAATTTTTAGTGTTACATTGAATCTTTTAGCCATGTGATTTATGTGTTTAGTGTGTTATTGTTTTTATACAGTAATTTTACTAATTATTATTAAGGTTAAAATCAAATATACTGACAAGGTGATTGCATACAACATATTTAACTGGAATGTGTGTGTTTTTACTAATTTCAAGAATTGTCAATGAATTGAGTAGTAATTTGTTTTAATGACATTCAGTATAAGTTTTTAGTGAACATACGTCTCTCTCTCTCTCACATACACACATACACACACACACACACACACACACATTATCCAATATCTAAAATAAGTACCATGGCCAGTTTTCTATCCACTTTGCGCCTAATGGACTCATCCTGGTTGGTGTCCAGCGACCGATCCTTTGGTATATTATTATTGATTTTAATGAATTTCCTCAGAAAAGACATTTAATTATCACTGCATTCACGACATGGACTCAGAAATAGTGTTCAAAAACACTGTTATTATTACACGAATTATAATAAGTTATATATACAAGGTGGTTTTATATTTTATTGCACTCTGGTAAGGCTAGTAGATAGTAATAATTAAAATGTATTTAAAAATATATGTATTTATATATTTCGGACATTTTTAAAGCTATTGAAAAATGAGTGTTAAATTCGTATCACTAGTCGCGTAAAAGTAATAAAAACTTTTTCTATAGTAAAGTAAACTGTGTACTTTTGTGTTTGACAAAACTGCAAATCGATAGTAAGTATATTGTGAGCATAACTTACTTTGTGAGCAACTCACAGAATACACACTTATATAAGCGGTCGTTACTCACCCTAAGAAATGACTGCAAACTTGTGTTTTGTTTGTCGCAAACTGTACGCCTGTATTGCCATATGATTGGCGATCGATGACTACACCGTCATATTCCCGGAACATTTAAAATAGTTTAGCAATTTGACAAATAAATTACAGATTAATTATTTACCAGTGTATTTTAAACGAGTTGGTAACCAACTGTTGGTTTTAAATATGTCCATATTTACTAAAATATTTTATTTCTATATTTCTATTATATTTGTTACAGATTTTTGAGTTTGTTCCAGATCATTTCTGATACTTTAGTAACTTTCTAAACCTTTGATTGCATGATTTCATAACATTTATGTACAGTACCATTAACTTATATTATGCAACGGATATAAAAAACTTTTTAATTACACGGGGGGATGTTATGACATAGTATCTTAAAATTTATGTCATAACATGCACATAACCGTGTTTATTAATATTAAGATAAATAAATTAAATAAAAATGTCCATTATTTTTAAAAATATATTATATAATTTAATATGTTATTAATTCATAGTATAAATTTGATACAAATTACTATAAAACATAATTACCATACTATAATAATGAGATAGTTCACTTTGAGATTATTCTGTAAAATATGGAAATATATAGTATATTTATATATTTTTAATTATCCCGTATGATTCAGGTTGTGTTTGACGTAATCCGGGTGCTTTTCATGTGCAATACATTTTCACACTGTAGTTAACGAATCATTAATTTGAATATATGAAATTATCGTTAAGACACATGTCTTATAAGATATTAATATCTGGTAACATACTGTGTATGTTTATTATTGTTATGTTTATAGCTATAAATTCAGAACGTTGAGTTATTTGGCTATTAATAGACGCGCACAAATTATGTGTTTTGGGTGTATAAAACGCTATGAAAGGATACATAATTAGATATTTATTTATGTAAAAATGTCGTTTAAGACAATCAATAGCGTGTACATAATGTATCCGCATGTCAGTTGCTCTCCGTAGGCATAGGAAACTATACAAGTTTCGCGTGATATTTATTATGTTTATTTCAGATAATAGTGCCAATCGTTTATTCTTAAGAGTATGTCAACAATTGATTATAGCAGTGGTTATAAATAGCGTAGCGAAAAGTTAAATGTCAATCAAATAATTTATTGCGTGTATAATTAATTATTTTTTGGGGCTAAGGTTTGATTTATTGAGTAATTTGCTAACAATGTATGTGTAGACATTTTTGTTAATTTGAAATGTTTCTGAGTTATTATTTTATATTTTATATTTTTATTTGAAACAATTTTATAAAAATATTTATTTAAATTCAAGAAAGTTTGTGTGTGTGTGTGTGTGTGTGAAATTGTGTAACTTGATACAGTTTACATTTTTAAAATAGTTAACTAGTTAGTTAAATAATTAAATAAATATAAATCTAATTAAAATTACATAATGGTTTCCGAAGCTAATATCTCCATGAAACCCAAAAGTATCGTGATAAAATTACTAATAATAGGTCCAACAATTGGTACTTTGTCCAAAAATAATTGTAGACTGGATACCTGAGCCTGGATAGAATCCTNTTGTAGACTGGATACCTGAGCCTGGATAGAATCCTGGATAGATTCTATAACCGATGCCATACATATAGATGCCATTATCAACACCAATACCATGATTATTATCTCATACTTTTCAGTCATTTTCATCAGTTATAGTCAATGATTGTATTTAATGTCCAGAATATTCTTGCGCTGATTTTAACAGCAGTTGAGTTAAACACCAACTGAAATAGTTTGAGTTATTATTCAATGTTAACTAAACTATCCTGATAAGATAACCGGAATTAATATTATATTTTTTCATTTAATAGGTATTTTTGTAGTGTATTTGACAGATGGACCAGAACACATACTATTTGCTATTACAATGAAACCTAATATAAATTGGAAATCACCAAAAAATTTCAAACTAAAATATAACTCAAATTACATTTGTTTTATCATAATACTTAATGGCAAAGATATTTGTTAATAACAATTATTAGACAATAAGTATTTTTGTAATTATCCATTATTAATGTGTAAATTATTATGTGTTATCATAAAATATGTATGACATATTATGTGAAAAATATTTATGCATTGACTGTAATCACACTAATACTTAATAGAAATTAAAATAATTTAGTTTATTCCTATAGGATATATTAATACCGTAGATTATTTTAGTATTTTATACATACTGTATAATACACAAAAATATTTATGCATTGACTGTAATCACACTAATACTTAATAGAAATTAAAATAATTTAGTTTATTCCTATAGGATATATTAATACCGTAGATTATTTAGCGTACACGTTTTAATTAATAAGAAATTTAACTATTATTTAAATGTAACATTTGCTTTGATACAGGAACATTTTATAGATTACAAATAAAGATCGAGATAATTACTAACAAGTTTGCGTATTAAATTAAAGTTTATTATTATTATTATTCAAACAAAATTTGCATGCTAATACAAATAAAATAATTTTAAAACATGAAATTTAAATATAAATCAAGCAATACAATCAAGGTGCTGGTGCTGGATAGATTAAGTTGATAATCATATCGAGCATACTGCCAATATATTCACCGACAACGGGTATCATGGTCGCATATGTCTTTATAGTTGTGAGTATACCTGCAATGAATCCCTGTATTGGCTCCAACATGGGAATTGCCGGTGCCGCCATAACCACCGATGCCATTGCTAACACCACCACGGTCATAATTATGGCATACTTTTCAGGCATTGTCGTAATTAGCGTAGAGTTTTATGGTACAGAATATTCTCGCGTTGACTGGTTGACTGTAACACCACTTATGATGACTAGAGACTAAATATTAAACAAGTTACTTTAAATGAGTTTATGAAAGTGAAGTAACTATTGTAGTTACTATTAATCGGAAGTATTTTGAATTTTTGTTTTGATTTGTGAACCAGACCATAGTTGACAATTACAGTTAAAATAATGTTTTTTTTGTCACCATATTTTTGACTTGAATTTATGATGAATTTATAATAATTCGTCATTCCATGCGTTATAATTTATAAACATGTTTTCTTGTTAAAATTTAATATATTTAATATATTACTCTCTCTCTCTCTCTCTCTCTCTCTCTCTCTCACTCACTCACTCACTCACTCACTCTCACTCACTCACACACACACACACACACACACACACAC